ATGGGGACAGTGGTATGAAGGGAGAATGGGGAAATCTCATTCAAATTGTATATCATTGTTCTGCAGTTTCAACTTACGGGGCACAGATAAAACACTTGTGGATGCTCTAGACATAGCTTTCCCCCTCCACCCCCCTCCAATCTTTTCAAATGAAAGACTATATGGGTTCATTCTGTTTATTAGCCTCAGCTCTTTTTCACTTTCTTTGAAGAAATCCTTGTCTTCTCGCTCTCTTTATGCGCTTCTTCTTAGATTTCCCAATGTTTAAGAGCCTGGGTTATTTGCCTAAATTAATTACCTGACCACGAATACATCATTTTTCGTTCAACAAATATTTGATGGATGGTTCTATGCCGCACGCTGGGTTAAGTGCTCAGAGTACAGAATAAAATAGAATTAGCTCTGCTTTTGTGGAATTTGCAGATTCACCAGGAAGATGGCTATTAAATTAATTCTGCGGTTAATTGACTGTAATTGGACTAAGTGTTGCAGAGGAGACGTGTAGGAATAAGTGGTTCTGTCCGGGCTGGGGGGGTCCCTCTGAGGAAGTGAGAATTCTGATACTTCGTTGGCTGGTGCTCTTTCATCCCAGATATTCAAATGCCAGATAGTATAGTTGGTAAATGTTCTAGGAAAGAATTGTTGTTATGGCTGTTTAACAGGCCTTGGGCCACATTTAACAAAGTAACTTATGGAAGCAGGCACTTAATGACTCCTTTTATTGTTTAAGTTAGTACTAGGGAATGAGGAAGGATCCTTTACAGAAATCAAAATAAACAGGGTGAAACCCGTGTCTCCACGGTACTCTCATAATGGCTGTGTATCTCTTACTAACTACACTTAGTGCTTCCTGTACAACTGTGACTAGTTGGTACCAGTAAAATTTCTGATGCTGAAGCCTGGGTGCTTGTACTATTAGTGGCTTATAAAATCTGAGTTACAAGTGCCCATGTTACTTCTAGGACAGGGGATGAAATGGAGTTCCCATATATAAATGCCTGACTTTTCCATCTGTAAAGCAATGTGTTCTTTCCTTACTGCAGTTCCTGAACTTGTTATGGAAAAATGTGTTGCAGCTTGTGTTACAGCTCAGTTGTGACAGCATCCTGGATCCGGGCGAGAGACCAAGCAGTACTCAGAGAGTTGGAGAACTCAGGTTTATTACGCCAGTGGGCCCAGAGGAGTTAACACTTAAAGCTCTAGACCCCGTCTGTAGGTTTACACAGGCCTTTTATAGGCTGCCAGTTTTACACTTTGCAACATCATATGCAAATAAAGTACAACAGAAGTTGACCAACCAGGAACAAGCTTTGTAGAAATAGACCAATCAGGAGTGAGCTCCATGCAAATGAAGTACTACAAATGGACCAATCAGAAGTTAGGGAAGTGGACCAATCAGAAGTGAGAGTAATAACTAATCAGGAGTGAAGGAAATAACCAATCAGAAGTGAGCTCAGGGAACTAATAGAATTCTAGGTGTAAGTTAGCCGCTTTAGGGGCAAAAAGTGAGATAGAACCTCTGGGCCAGGGAACCGGATGGTGCTAAGAGGAGAGCTGCGGCCCTGCCTAGGGGTCCTGCTGGTCTTTTTATGGGGCTTCCCGCCTCAAACTGACCGATCACTAAGAGGCTGTGGTCCTTGTTAATGCCCCAAAGTGCAGGTGGCATTCAAACCTGAAAATTAACTGGGATAGGGCACTCACAGCAAGTCCAAATGTTCTTAGATTTAAAGCTGTCTTAGAATCCCGGGCCAGGCTAACTGTGACGGTAGAAACCTTAGCTACAATTCATTCTTGGACACAGCCTTTCCCTGAGGCTAACAGTGAAAAGCCTTTATGAATACACCAAAAATAGGTCTGTGTGCTATTTTTGATAGTGCAGTGCTTCAGGCTGAAGTTTGTAAGAATTCAATCTAGGGCAGAATGTACTTACTAAACAACAGAGTTTACCAGTTGTGTTGACACTTGGGAGTTTAGTGGGGAGGTACTGTTATATAAATAAAAGAAACTCCTTTCGGGACATTTTCACTTAGATGGGGGAAATAGGCTATTTTAAGATGTATAATTCAGTATGCAAACTTTTTTTAAACAATCATACATAATGTAAACATTTGAAGGAGTTTTGTTCCCATTCTGGTTCCATCTGTAACATGGAGACAATGATACTTTAAAAACCTGCAAGTTATGTTTATAATTTGTCACTATGTCAAATAATCACCTATTTGAGGTTTTCAAACATTGCATCATTGAATTTTAAGTAGGAGGCAATTATGACTCCCATTTATTAAGATCTGAAATGACTGTGGAGGGTATACTGAATAAGAACGTGGAACAGTGGCCAATTCCATTAAGCCTAATTATATTAATAGACAGTCTCATGCCTCGTCTGTGATTCTTCCAGTTAGATGAAGTTTGTATAAAGGAACCAACTGTTGAATACCAGTATGAGTTACTCTTTCATTTTGTATTTTAGTCTGTGCTCTAGAACTCTGCAAGTTAATTTTGTTGAACGCCACATTCAGATGTGAAATACATGTTTAGAATTTCACCCAGTGCATGTAACTTACACAGGACCATAGGTCTGATTATATAAAAGTATGCGGATATTGTATCTACCTATCACAAACATTTTATTCTTATCCTACTTTGTAGAGAATGTGTAACTTGTATGTGTGGGTGAATTATCCCCAACTGTATTTCCTTAACTACAGGATAAATTGCTAGGGATGAAGACCAAGAAGAAAACTATTAAGTAAACAAGTAAGATGTGTATTTGAAAATCTCTTGCCCTTGTGTAACCATCACAGCATCTGGGCACTACTCCTTACAGATTTGCCTTGTGTAGTGTATATAAACCACTCTGTCCAAGTACATGCTTTAAACCCATGCTGAAGCCAATCACTGGTAGATTAACATGCCTTCTTTCATACAGGCTCAAGACTGCACAGTACAAACAGCCTGGAAATCAGACTTTGAACAGTGAGCTAGGGCGCAAGTTAACCGATTCCTTTTGGTCTTCATGCTATAGTAGGTCCAACACAGTTGGAGATTAGTTCCAGTTAACTAAATGAGAAGGATAAAATTAGGCATGGGGTTGGCTCTTCCTGTGGATACGTCTGTATCATTGAGACAAACAGCTCCATGGCTCCAGATTCCAGATGAGTAATTTTAGTACCCATGCGTAGGATGAATTTCAATTGATAAATTAATGTAGGATAAATTAATGTTTCTTCATGGTCTAAAAGTAATCGTTCTTACTAAAGAACACCCGTAATGTTGCATCTCCAAGTCTGTAGGTCTGTTTATGTGAGTGTGGCTTTAATGAGTGGTATAACATCTTTGGCAGCTTGTACCTATTCTGTAGGCGATGTTGATGTAATTTCCTGTTTCATAGGTTCAGTTATCTTGTGGCTCAAAGGTTAATCCCTGAAAGGGATATGAAATGCTACCTTAACCTTGGGTATAAGACTTCTCTACAGCATTTCTGTCTCCTGTATTAAATTATGATGTTTTAACTTATGCCATTTTGTCTTTTCCCTTTGCACTCTAGCGGAGTTTTTATCAGGTTGTAATGAAAATTATATTGGAAATAGACAATATAAAACTAACACTGGTTAAAACTGAACATATTAGACATTTGTTGCTGACTAAATAGTGATAGAAAATTTCTTGACAAAATTTTAACCAAGACCTAACAAATTTTGACCCATTTAAAATAAATGTCTAAAATAAAAATCACAGCCATGCACATGTGATCAGAAAAGCTTGATGTGAACCCCAAACTGATGAATGAATCTAATTTTATTGTGAAATGCACATGCAGTGGAACCAAGTCCAATAAAATTAAAATGAAAATAGAAATATTGGAATATAACTGATGAATAGAACATGAATCAAGAAATTTAAAATAGTTAATTGAATTAACTCTAGAATATAAAATTGCCAATGATCTATCAAAGATGACATCATTCAGTCAAATATGTTTGTAATCATAAAAAAAGTTTTTAAGGTCAAAGCATTAGGGTCACAAATAGTGATCTGTTCATAAAAGGGGGTTCAAGAGAGCAGGATCCAGATATTTTCTCCCCTTCTCATGTACATCATGATGGAGGAGGCTTCTCTCTCACCATGTTAATGCTCAGTGATGGCCAGTTTATTTTTGCCTTTTCTTTTCCCCCTACCTTTGCTTAATCATCCATATCTACACTTTTTTTTTTTACGTGTTATTTCAAATGAGCATCATAACAGTTGGATGAGTTGAGTTCATGCTATCCCATTTTATAGCCCAAAGAAATGAAACAAGTTACCAAAGGGCTCACACAGAGTAGGTAGCCCAGCCAGACTAGAAACACGTGCTAGTCTAATTTCAACTTAAGCATTTTTTCACTCCACCACAGCTATGACTGGTAAACACTGATGATTATTTACCTTAAGCAGTCAACCCATGAAACATTGTTCTCTGTTTCTATAATTGGTGGTTAATATGACCCAACGATTTTGAAATTGTCCTAGGTTATGCCATATGACCAGTCCTGTGTAAATTCCCGTAGCTTCATAGTCCTTTGTCCAAAGTCAGGTAACAGTAAAGGCATTCAGAGGATGAGGATTCGGAAGAACCCCAGGTCTCTTTGCAGGATGACTGTGTAATAACTGTGTGAATGTATGTGGCATTTCTCTTCTCTGAGCCTCCATTTCCTCATGTGTAAAATTAGGATGACCCTGTCTGCTTTGGTTATTTTACAAGGCTGTTTTATTCACCAATAATAACAAAAGAATAAGCTTCTAGAGATTAATGGCAACATCTTTATCATTTTCTAGTCACAGAAACTACTGTAGGGCTAGACACATGGTGTGGTAAAATGTGAAGAGCACGTGAGATGGATTTTGAGAAAATATGTTGTAAAATTCAAGTTTCTAGAAAGGAACAGAGGTGTGATTGTTTTATTGGATGATTATTGTGCCTCATCGGTAAGATTTATTCTTCCTTCTTGGTGTTTCCCCAGGACCCCTGAGGTTCCTCTCCCAGACAGAATCGGTCACTGCCTTCATGGGCGACACAGTGCTTCTCAAGTGTGAAGTCATTGGGGAGCCGATGCCAACAATACACTGGCAGAAAAACCAGCAAGACCTGACTCCCGTCCCGGGCGACTCCCGCTTGGTGGTCCTGCCCTCCGGAGCCTTGCAGATCAGCAGACTCCAGCCGGGAGACACTGGAATCTACCGTTGCGTAGCCCGGAACCCAGCCAGCTCAAGAACAGGCAACGAGGCGGAAATCAGACTCTTGTCAGGTATTGCAATGCTTTTTATTCTTATCAGAATTAGTCTCTAGAATATAATTGGAACAACTTTTGAACAGTTTTTCCTTTAACAAATTTTTTTTTTAAGTTCTGTACTGTTTGTTGGGTTTATCTTTATAGTTTTTTCTTCTTTGCTAAGTGAACCATTTGCTGAAGGTATGCCAAAAGCATCTCTTATGTTTCCGTGTCTTGCAGTTGAACTTTCTGGATAAATAGGTATTTTCCTTATATTTGGCTTCACTCATTTGTTCACTCATTCTGTTTGTTAATGAGCGCTTCTTTGTGCAAAGCCCATTGCTAAACAGTTTGATGTTATTTAATTTTCCTCTGTTAACAGTCTACTAGGTAGTTATTATTATCTCTGTTTTTAGAGGATGATGTTGAGGCTTAGCAAGGTTAGGAGCCTTCCCCAGGTTAATGCATTTACGCATCCATTCTTTCTGAGAAGCGTTGTGCTAAGTACTAGGGACACAGCAATGACTAAGACTGACACAGAGCCTGGCTTATTAGAATCCTGGGTGAACGTGGACGTGCAAGGAATTGCAATAAAGTGTGATTGATATGATGAGGAAGTTTGTTTCTCTCCATCTCTTGTCTCCCTTTCTCGTCCCTGGCAAATCTCTAAGATGCTGGGCTTGTTTTCCTCTCCTAAATAGTCAGAGGTTGGAATGGATACTTTCTAAGATCCCTTCCAATAACTGCTACTCCCTCGGGTATGTGTAATAGCTACTTTCTCATTTAGTTCCACTTGTAGTGTTTACTTAGACTCATTTGTGAGAATCACAAAGAAGGAAGCACTTGAGTAATTGTGACAGCTCCCTGTCAAAGCCCCCCTGATGTTGGCTTTTGTCCCCACATCCTGAATGTAATTATCACAAGCCCCACAGCTAGGTGGGGTAGAGGGTCACATTCCCAAGTCTCTCTAAATGCAGACTGGCAATTTGATTGCAAGTTTCTAGAACCTTTAGTGAGGACATCTCTAAAACCTCTTCTAACTCTTTCATAGGTTCTCTCCTCTGTTAGTCACGGGGATACTGACTTAACTGTGCCAATAACCATCAGCGACACTGCTGCCTTCCATCCTTCAGACGGTGATAAATGCAAATGCAGCGTTTATTCCGAACACATACCATGCATTTATTTAGTTTAGGTTGCCATTAAATACACACAATTTTTAAATATTTATATTCACATACCCTTAATAATGCATTTGAGTCAATCAGATGAGAAGCCCGAGTAAGCCACATAGAAAATGGGCAAGAATGTGTTTGACTATCTTAATATGACCGAAAAGGCTGTTTCCCTGTGGTATTAAGGAATAAAGCTGGACTAATTAAATATTAAATCCGAAATGGAAACTTTTGAAAGACAGACATAATCATCAAATCACCTTTTACATTTATGTGTTCACCTTGTGAAACATATTTGCATTGTAATCCATGGAGATTTATTGAGAGCCAAATTTTATACTGTTACCTTGGCTAAAATCAAGAATATGTTGGTGTCCTTTGGAGAAAACCTGACTGAAAACTGACACTGTTTTGAAATCATTACATCTGATGAGAATTTTTCTCCAAGTTCCATGAATTCAAATATAAACTTCAGAAAGAAATTATGAGCCAAGGTGATAAACAGACACTTAACCACATTTGATGGAGCCTGTCTTGTATGCTGTTGACCACATAGAGGACCTGCTGGAGGAGCATGTGTTACCCATTTATCCCCAAGTTTGCAAGCTGGTTTAGTGGTCAAATTCACAAACCCACAACAAGCAGGAAAATGAATAAATGCTGAAGCCCAGCTTCTTTTAATTGCCATTTATAATATTCTCATTTTTAAAATCATGCTAATCCTTTCTGAATCAGTTTTCACTTTCTATAAGTAGCAACTGAAGAAATAATTGCGTACATATGTTGCCCATCCTCTATTCTAACACATTTAATTGTGTAAGATAGACTCAAGTTAAAGTAGAAACCCATCACGTTATTAATGTGGCTTAGAAGCTTTAACGTGGTACATGTGTGGTTACCACTCTTTAAAAATATACATTTTCCCGTGATCATTTAAGTATCATGTTGATTGATGAACTTACCTATTTTTGCTTTACTTTAAAACATAAATGCTAATTTGAAGTTTTACCACTCTGTTCAACACTTGTTTTTACCACAGTTCGTAAAGATTGTACTTCAGTTTGTGTGTATGTGTGTGTAGAGAGTTATCTAAATACTATATAATTTGATGTCCTTATTCAAGTTTGTAGAAAACATTTGAAGTTGCCATTTCTATGTCTTAGGTGTTCTAATATCACCAAGTAACTGAGATCTCTTAAATTCAGATTTTAAGACCCAAATATTTTATTTTGAAATGCTGCTTTTCAGCAAGCAATTTCAGTCTATTCACTAAATAAATACCCTATTGAACAAACTTTTGGGTGAATCTTCTGTACCTGCCTTCACACTGGTTGCTAGGAATACGAAGTTGGAAAACTGTGCCCCCCAAAACTCTGGACTAGCGGGAGAAATAGATAAAGCAAGTGGTTGGTTTGTGCTGTGAAAAAAGAAACACAGAATGCCATTACTTGACATAAGAGAAACCCTGATGTGCCGGTCCTGAAGAACAAGTAGTAACTCAGTGCACCGGGGGAAAGAGTTGCAGCAGCGAAACACAGAGAAAAGAGAGGGAACAGCTTTCCAGGGAAACTGCACACAGGCTGGTTAACTGGGTCAGAGGGCACAGGAAATGTTGGAAGAGAAACTGAAGGAAGAAAGATGGGGTAGAATGTACAGCGTTCATCTTAGGGAGGGTTGATCAAAATTGCTCCTGCAATGATATCAAAGGGACTCAGAGATGAAGATGGGTAGGGGGATATTAAGCATGAATCTTGGAGACAGAACAAATCAGATGAGGGAAGGGATGGAGTCCAGGCTCCGTAGAAACTAGGCAGCGGCCCTGTTCACTGTGCTTAGGAGCAGAGTGGTGGTGTTACTGTGTTCAAAATCAATTGTGATTTTTTAGAAGAGATTTTCCCATAACACTGTGTATATTCCAGAATAAATGAGTAATTATTTGTTTCACTCAGAGGTAGAAAAATGGTAACTAATTTGTTGATTCATGTTTTAAGACAAGTTAAATTGTGAGAAGTTGTGCACTCTTAACAAAGTTAGCATTAAATTATTGCAAAGGATTAAAAAAAGGAAAACACTGAGTAGGAGTTGAGGTGGTTTAAGATGTCTCATTGTATGTGGTGGAGATTGTAGGAGGGATTGAAGCGGCCATCGTGATTGTCGGGGCCGCTTTATTAAGTCCTCATCATGTCTGAGTGCCAAACAGTAGATTGAATTGCTGAATTATAAATCTGCTGTGGGCACTAGGTTGACTGAAATAACTGGCCCATTCACTGGAACTCTGATTTCAGTTATCTTAATGGCCTAATTGAGTTGATCAATTGGTAATTGAATCTGTTGTTCATTCATTTAACGATAATTAGATGACTCTGGGTCCTGGATAGACTTGAACTAAATATCTATGTAATTAAAGACATTCGCTTTTAATGGAATAAATTGGACTAAAACATATTTTGAATGATTTTTCTCTTAATATTTATTTCTATTGAAATAAATTTTAATAGAAACTATTCCAAATGCATATTATTTAAAATGAAAATTACATGTTTGAGGATTTTAAAATAGCTTCAGAACTTTGTTAATCACTAGGAATTTATTATTAACTGATGGGTGCATTAAATTTTTAATTTGACTAAATATTATATTTTGAAATTAATTTTATTTTGCTATCATTTATTTTTATATTTTCTACAGAATAATGATCTGTTGAGGAAAACAAAGAAGACAGCCTTTATCTTGAAATTTACCATTGAGCCAGACAGTTAATTCATGTAGCCATATGACCAACATAAGGGCAGGGAAAGATAAATTGAGGTAAACATATCTAGTTTCATAGGGTGATTATGAGGTTTCAATTTTATAGGCCAAGTACAGTACCTGAAATTGCTAAGTTTTTAGTGACTCTCATAATTACTTTTGCATTTTCGAAATTCCAGTTTTAAAGATTTTGATACTCATGTTAAGATTATTGTTCTGATAAGTTATCTAACTTTGATTCTGGATAGCTAATCACTCATTTACTTATTGATTGTTAATTGCATGTACCTACCAGTAGTTAATTACGTATGTTTTGTTCTACTTAACGCGTATAGTGCTTTCTACTTTCTGCATTTCCTTTTCACATCTGTTAGAAGTCAGAGTACCCTGCTATTGTTTCCCCTCTAGTAACTCAATGATGCATGATTTTCACCCTTACCTTTCCATCAACATCATTTCTCTGGCTATGTGAATTATTGCAAGGGGCACTGGCTTAGAAATAAGAGTTAGCATACAATAAGACTTCTTACTATTTGGTCTTTATTAGCCAGTACCAATTCTCCTAATCCTTTAAAATGCTTAGTTTCCTTATGTGTCAAGAGCTGGGACTAGATCAGTCTTTCCCAAGGATCTGTTTTATTTTATCCACATTCGTCCTCAATTCTGCCTTTATAATTGTAGCGTTTAAGAGTAGAAATTTGCTAGACAAATTCTCATTATTAAAAAAACATAAGGCTGTGCTAAAACACAAAAATTAAGGGTCAAAAATCAATCTCATAAAACATGAGATTGTCCTACCTTTGCGTTAATTAAGAAAATAGTTTTAAGTCAGTTTATATTGTCACAAGAAGCAGACCAAAAGCAGACATGATACTTTTTATTGTATACAGCTGACCGACCAGACAGTGACCAGACCCAAGTTCATGTCATGATTTGCCCCCACTCCCCACAGATGATAACTTTACCTTGTCCTTTTTGGGAACCTGAGCTGAGTAGAGCACAGAAACTAGTAGACAATGATGCTATATTATGATTCGTTATTATATGAATTGGTTATTATAGATGAGGTCTTTTAACCAATGGAAGATAACTGAGATAACCAGTGTTTTC